GCCCCAGGGGCCCCAGATTGGTGAAGTGATGTTTTTTCCCACGTAAGGACCCCGAAATTCATCACTTCACTAAACCGAACCCAGGACGAAAGTCAGGGGCCGAATTGCTGCTGTGATGCCACATCGGCCTCGTATCGCAACCTTCCCCTTCGGCCCAACTTGGGCCGCTTTCGCTGGCCGCGCCTGGCTTGCATTCCTATGCCCGACCACACGTAGGAGTGACCCTTCGCCGGGGGGACCTCTGGCGCGGGCGGGCCCACAGGGGTCCCTCGATCTCCGCACGCGAGGCGGCAGTGGCGTCCTGCGCTTGTGTGTGTGTGCCCCCCCCCCCCCCACCCTCGCCCCAAAACCGTGCACCACAGGGTCAATCTCACCCAGGGTCACTCTTGCGCTACCGACATTAGGAGAACTAGAAGTGACATAAAACAAAAAAACTCGGAGGTTCCGCGCGGACAGCGCGGATCCGGAGAAATCCGCGTGACCACCGTTTTTTATGTTTATGTCACTTCTTGTTTCCCTAAAAACACAGGTTGACCGAGCTGCGGGTCCTCCCCCCCCCTCGGGCCCTCGGGGCGCTCCGCCGAGCCGTGGTCTTCTGCGAGGGTCTGCTCGCCTTCCTGCCGGGCGGGAGCCTCGCCGCGTGCCTGGCCGCGCTGCTGGGCTGCGCGGCCGCAGCGGGCGGCCCCGCGCGGAGGAAAAGGAGGCCCCTCGCCTCGGGATCTCCACGCCTGGCGTCGCCGATGCATCGCCGACGTCGCCGATGCATCGGCGATGTATCGCCGATGCATCGGCGATGCGGCGCGACCCTCCGAGCCCATCTGCTCCAACCCCATCCAGGAGGCCTCTCTTGTGGGGGGCCCTGGGGGCGGCTTGGGGCTGGTGGGCCCAGCCTAGGGGCTTGCCGTCTGGCCGCCTCTCCACAACATCTGCACGCGAGCGCATACGAGGGCTTGGCACCACGGGTATGTGCGCCTGCGCGGGGTAGGAGTGCCGATAGAGCAGCTTCGGTAGCAACTCATGGGAGCCTTGTATCACTGTGTGAGACCGTCGCAGAAGGAGGAGGAGGAGGAGGAGGAGGAGGAGGAGGAGGAGGAGGAGGAGGGGGGATAATATGAACAATGATACGCATCATTCCACTTATCAGCATAGTACGAAACTTACCCCAGTGCGACCCTACCTAGAAGTTGAAGCCCCTAGGAAAGCAGCATTAGTTGCTATGCTATGCTATGCTATGGCATGTTATGTTGCGCTATACTATACTATACTATGCTAGGCTATGCTATGATATGCTATGATGCGCTATACGATGCTATGATATGATATGCTAAACTAAGCTATGCTATGTCATGCTGCGCTGTGCTATGCTAAGCTATGCCATGCTATGTTAAGCTGCGTTATGCTATGCTAGGTTATGCTATGATGTGCTATGCTATGTTATGCAATGCTATGCTATGCTATAATTGGGTATGCTGTGCTATGCTAATGCTATGCTATGCTATGCTATGCTAATGCAGCGCTGCGCTATGCTAAGTTAAGCCAAGCTAAGCTAAGATGAAACCAGCTAAGATAAGTTGAGATAAGCAACGCTAAGCTAAGGGGACGTCACTGGGGGAACCGCGGGGCGGATCCTGGGGGAACCGCCCGGGGCGAGGAACACTGCCCGGCCCCTTCAAGCATATAGGGTAAGAACTCTTCTAGGCAGAGCCTAGGTAGGGAACCAACCCGAATGACGATACTGTTAATAATACAATTCTTGCTAGTACAATTCATTACAACAAATTACTGTTCATTAGAATTCGTAGTCATACGTATAATAGAATAACATCAGGAAAATACATTGACTAGTGATAATACGAATCATCATACGACCAACACTGCTACTACTACTAAGAAACACAATAGTAACACTAACAATAATAATACGAATAATGAGCACAATAATGACAAGAGGGGGAGGAGGAGGAGGAGGAGGAGGAGGAGGAGGAGGAGAAGGAGGAGAAGGAGGAGGAGGAGGCGGAGGAGGACGAGGGGGAGGAGAAAGAGCAGGAGGAGCAGGAGGAGCCACAGGTGCGAGGAGCGGAGCCTGGACCGCAGGCCCGACGCCCCCCTCACCCCGGCCCGAGGAGGCGGAGTGCAGGCCTTTTCCGCCAGCGCAGGCTTCCCCCGCCTCGCCGCCGACGCGAGAGGGAAGCTATGCGGGGGCCCACCGGGGGGCAGAGTGCACGCGCGTCCGCCGCCGCCTGCAGGTTCCAGGGCGCTAGCCATCAGAGGCAAACGAGGGACGCACACGTACATGAACCCACGTTGGCTTGGCGAGTGCGCACTGCGCGAGTGTTCGCACCGCGCGGCGGGTCTCGCGCGATCGAGGGGCCGCGTTCGGGGAGCAAAAAGTGGCATAGACATGACAGCTCGGAGGTCCGCGCGGATCTCTCGGATCGGCGCTGGACCCCCTTCCCTGGCGCGCGGAGAGCGCGCCAGGGGCGGCGCCGGAGGCGCCGCTCGGGGGCCCCAGCGCCGACCCGAGAAGTTCGCGCGGACCTCCGAGCTGTTATGTTTTATGCCACTTTCTGTTCCCCTAACACGGCCCCTCGATCGCGCGAGACCCGCCGCGCGATGCGAGCACTCGCGCGCAGCGCGCACTCGCCAAGCCAACGTGGGTTCATCCACGTGTTCCTGCACATCGTTGGGCGCGTGCGTCCTTCCGTGGGCTCCCCGGGAGCTGCATACCCCGGGCGGCGGGCACGGAGAGCCCCACTTTGCCTCGGAGAGAGAGGGGGGTGCGCCGCGAGCTCCGGGGCCGCGCGCGCGCGGGGGGGCCGCCCCGTCAGGACCACTACCTGTGCAAGAAGTGGGTGGAGGTGAAGAGGTCGATCCCCAGGCGACCTGGCCGAGCCAGCCGCGGCAGCAGCGGAGAGGTGGCAGGGAGAGGGGCGAGGCGCGGAGGGGAGCACCCGAGGGAGGCGGGCCGGGAGAGGTCCGGCGCGTCTGGGAGGAGCGGTGCGGTCGTCCTTTTCCCCCCCCTTCCCCCCCCCCCCGAGTCTGCGATCTGTCTTTTGGCTCCGGTGGCGTGTTTCGGTCTCTGCATGGCCCTCTGCTGCCTCGGCATCGGATGTCTGGAGGAGCCCGAGGAGAGAGGCAGAAAGAGAGAGAGAGAGAGAACGTCAGAGAGAGAGAGAGGGATAGAGAGAGAGAGAGAGCGAGTGTGCTTGCGGTCGAGGATGGATGACCTACCAGGAAGAAGTAGTACATATTACAGGGATTTCAACAAAACCAGGTCGGCATGCCTGGACGGCCTAGTCCCCGCGGACCCGCTCACAAATGATATAGCGTGCACATTCGTTGTTTGAGTTCGTGCCATGTGCCATGGAATCGTCGTGCGGGTCCCACTCAAAGACGTAGTTTGAAAGAGACTTTAACTGCTTCGGGGTTCTTTTTGTTCGTCGAGATGCCCCCGGATCTTTCCTAGATCTTCCTCCAATATTTCCCCCAGATCTCCCCCAAGATCTTTCTGCTGATCTTGCCCCATGTCTTCCTCAGGAATTTCCCCCAGCTCTTCCTCTGTATCCTCCTCCAGATCTTCCTCCACATATTCCTCCAGACCTTTCCCCAGGTCTTACTCCACATCGTCCTCCAGGTCGTCCTCCGTACCTTCCTGCAGATCCTCCTCCAGGCCTCTTCCCGAGGCCCTCCCTCCAGATTCCTCCCCAGATCCTCCTCCTCCTCCTCTTCCGGCCCCATTCCTGCGGACCGGCGGGGGCCCCGGGGGCTGGGCTCCGGCGTTCCTCTCTCGGCGGACGTGGCTGTCCCGCGCCCTCCCTCCCGGGTCCTCCGCCTCGGGCAGGCCCGGGGCGAGGACGAGTCGCTCCCGCGCTCTCCACCGCGCGCTCCTCCTCTAGAGCGGTTTCGGGGGCGGGCGCCCCTGGCACGGCGCGCGGCTCGCGGCGCCGGATGTGCACCCGCGTCCAGACCCGCGGGCTCGCGGAGAGTCCCCGAGAGGAGGAGGAGGAGGAGGAGGAGGAGGAGGAGGAGGAGGAGGGAGGGAGGAGGAGGAGGAGGAGGAGGAGGAGGAGAGGAGGAGGAGGAGGAGGGGGAGGAGGAGGAGGAGGGAGGAGGAGGAGGAGGAGGACGGAGGAGGAGAGGAGGAGGAGGAGGAGGAGAGGAGGAGGAGGAGGAGGAGGAGGAGGGGGAGGAGGGAGGAGGGAGGAGGAGGAGGAGGAGGAGGAGGAGGAGGGAGCGTCGTACTGGTGGCCATGGCCCAGTCTGTCGGGCAGGAGCTCGCTCGAAGGCGGCGCCTCGTCGGGCCGCGCGATCAGCGGGGCCAGTCCTGTGCGCTCTGGCGTGGATGGGGCTGGCTCGCCTCAGGGTCATGGTCGGGCCTTCGTCTTGCTGCCCCCTCTTCTCTTCCTTCGGCGCGCTCACTGACACCTCCTCTCGCCCCCCGCACGTGCTCAGGGCCCTGCCGGGCTGGCCCCCCTCTTCCTGAGCCCCCTCTCTTCGGCGCACCCGATCTCAGGGTTTCCCGACTTCTCCTCGTCCGACTTTGTCCTCGTCTTCGTCTCCAAGGGCGCCCTCGAGAGGGCGCGAAATGATTCGCGCTTCACGCTTCGAGGTTCGGCTCCGATTCCTGCTCCTTCTCCTCTCCTCCCCGAACGCAGCGATTCCTGCGCGGCGCAAGGACGCGAAACTGTTCGCTCTTCACGCTCTTGCGCCGCGCCAAGCGCGAACTTGGGCGCCCTTGGTCTCACTGACCCTTCCCTCCTCCTCCTCCTCCTCCTCCTCCTCCTCGTCCTTCTCTTCCTCCTCCTCCTCCTCCTCCGCCTCCTCTTTTCCTGCCCCCGATGCCACTGCGTGCTCTTCGAGGTCTCGACCCATTCCCCACGGCCGCTTCTTCCATCCCGAGCCGGTCTCCGACAGCCACGGGGCCCAGCGAGGCCCCCCCCGGAGGCCGAAGCCTGTCAACACATTGCCGTCGCGTTTTTTTTGCAATGCGCGGGGCTCTGGGCGGCTTAAGGACTCCCCCCCATCCTCAGGGCTTCGTCAACAGGGTCGGAGCAGATGGGGTCGGCGGACCGCGCCGCACTGCCAGTGCGTCGCAGATGCATCGCCGATGTATCGGCGATGCGGCGCGACCCTCCGACCCCATTTAAGTCGGATCCCAATCTGAGCAACGTAGGAAAGCAGGTTCGCTTGTGCGGACATTCGCGCGCAAGCTGCCTGCGTAAGACAAGCGCACTCGTTTCCAATGTAGCGTGCCGCACTGGCGGGCCGCGTGAGCTACCGCGTAAGGTCTCGATGCCATCTCGCGTAAGACTCGTTCTCTTCGGCGCCAATTTAGGAGGCTTCTACATCCGTATGGGAAACGTAAGACTCGAGCTCGCCAGAACTCGGGGTTGCCGATGTTTGTTGATGAGCCCGTGCCGGATTTGACGGTCCAGGTTTCTTGGGATGGTTTGCAGCAGCTGCTCACTTCACATTTCAGCTTGGGCATCGCCATTTTCCTGACTTCCCCGTCGGGCCAGCCCGAGCCCCACGAACCCGAGCCTTATGTCGAACGGCCGACGCACACCCACACCCCATTGGGGGCATGGAGGGGGCTACGGGTGCGTGTTGTCGGATGGGGGTTCCCGCTCGAGCGGGAGCGTCCCATGGAGTCCAACAACCCGCACCCATAATTACTTATATCCAATCCTCCTCACTCCGACTCCCCTACAGTCAACCCGTATGGTAAGGATGGGCACCTGTCCCAAGGGTACCCTTGCATCCTTGCCTCCTCGGTCCATCCTTGGCCACTTTCGTTGGCCGCGCCCCGCTCGAAACGCTTTGAGATTAGCGTCCAAGGCCCTTGCCTCCCTTTCCGCGCGTCCTTACGAAACGGGCCGACTGTATGGGTATGAGTGTGTGTTATTTGCTCGTCATCTTACGCCCCCCCCCCCGATCCCGCAACCCCTCCCCCTCCCCCAGGGAGCTGATCGACGCCTACGAGCGCGAGCAGAGGCGCCTCCACGCGGAGCAGCTGCCCGCGGGCGGAGGCACCCCGCTCCCGCGCACCCCAGGAAGGCGACGTGGCAAGCTCACCCGCGGGGGCACCAAGCTGATGGCGCTTCGCGCACCTCCCCCCCCCTCCTCCTCCTCCTCCTCTCCTCCTCCTCCTCCTCCTCCTCCTCCTCCTCCTACTCTCCTGCTCCTCCCCCTCCCCCTCCTCCTCCTCCTCCCCCTCCCCCTCCCTCTCCTCCTCCTCCTCCTCCTCCTCCTCCTCCTCCTCCTCCTCCTCCTCCTCCTCCTCCTCCTCCTCCCCCTCATCGTGATGGCGCCCGTGATGGGGCAGACGCTGCGGTTGATTGTGCAGCTCCTGGCGATTCCTGTGCTGTTCCCGCCGAAGGCGATGCTTCTGCTGCCGAGGCCAAGATGGTTGACAGCGACGAGGAGTGGGCCAACGACGACCACATCAAACAGCTCGCTGGGGACTTCGTCTCGAAGAAGATGGCGGAGCACCGCGACGAGCCCGTCCGCGATCTCACCGCCGTCGTCTCCACGACCGTGTCTGACCAGGTTGAGGATTTTGCATATCAGCTTGCTGACCATGCTGCTGCTAGCAAATTGGCTGAAGGTGTTAAACATTTCCCGCACATGGCACGCGACGCCTCTGAACGACTTTGCGCCGACAAGCTTGATGCAGACCAGCGGAAGTTTCACGAGCAGCTCGACGGCCACTCGATCAGGGCCCGTGCGTGTGAAAACCGCTTGGACGAACACGATACTGTTTTGCAGACCCTCCGTGAACAGATTCAAGAACTTCGTGGTGCACTTGCCCTTGCCAGTGCCAAGCCAAATCCTGTTCCCGGCAGTGCCGCAGGCTTCGACAGGGAGGCTGGCACGACGATCATCAGGGCCATGGCTGCTAAGCTTGTAGTGCTCGACGATGTCGAGCAGATCCTTACGTATTGGATGGGCGAGTGAGGTGTCGATGCTAAGTTCTTCACTGTCTCCTCGGGCCCGTCTCGAGGTAGTTCGCCGTCCAGTCCACTGGTACTGCGGGCCCTGCTGCCCGCCGCGCCACTCAGATCCTTAGAGCCCAGCGCGTCGCCCCTGGCCAATGGAAGCGCTTCGAAGTTAAAGCTACCGGCAACCAGCAGGCCAACCTTCACATCGGCGCGGGCAAGAACCCGAGGCATGTCAAACTCGAGATCCAGGGCCGCAAGTTCCGCGAGGCCTTCCGCGAGACCGCCAGTGACAAGAGATGTTTTTTTGGGATCGTGACCGCGGGTACGTCGTGGCAGGATGGGATCCAGTGCTCCGTCTTTCGCCCAACCCTGGGAGTATCGTCTCGGAGATCGCGTGGGCTGACAACGTCGTCCAGAAACTTGGCCTTCCTAAAGAACGTCGGGCCGCCGCTGCCAAGTCGATCATTGCTCCTCCTGAGGCCGCCAGGTGGAGCCTTAAACGGCTTCGCGAGTGCTAGTCATGGGGGCCTGTCTGGCACGCCTACTTTGTCTTTCACGTCGTGGAACACCAGGGCGCTACTGCAGCGCCAAGGTGCACGCGCGAAGCCGAAGCTAGCCTACCTCAAACGCCTGAACTTCACCCGTGGTGTTGCTGCCCTCCAGGAGGTGAATCAGGGCGAGGAGCAGTTGGTGGATTTTCTCTCCAAGGCGGCCCCTGCCGCGCGTCTGCAGTTAAAGGTCTGCGAGGGGTCTGCAGTTAAAGGTGGAGTAGCTATTATTCTTCCTGGGGGTTGTCACGCTGAGGTTTTTCATCGGTCTCTGGCTCATGGTCGAGTGCTACGAGTATTGCTGCAACTAGAGGGCTTCAGCACCTTCCGTTTTAATGTGCACAACCATGACTTTGCCATCGCACAGCTCATTGGGTTTCGAAAGTTTTGGCAGCCTACAAGCAGGTGGCGCTGGCTGATCCGCTCCAAATCGTGGTGGTAGCCCACGGCGATATGAATTGCACTCCGAAGCCTCCTCGCCTTTTTCACCGGCCTCATCGTCCTCTTGCTGAATGGAAAGGCCAGCATGCGTGCGCGGCCCGCTGGGCTAACGCTTCACGGCCTCTCGCGGGGATCTCCTCGGGCGAGCCCACGCGCTGCGGCGGGCGCTCTCATTCGGTATCAGCTTGCTCGTCTGGGTGTTGGCGCAACTTCGGGGCCCGCGGTCATTGGATGTCCCGCAGAGCTGGCAGATCGATGTGTCAGAGACCACGCCGCGCACTTTGTTCGCCGTACCCAGAGAGTTGCAATGCCTCCTTGCTCACATCGCATTCCGCGCCAGCTATTCGAGTCTGAAACTTGCCAGCAGCAACTCAAGCTTGTTTGTCAAAAGCTGAACTATGTCGACAAAAGCCCGCCGAGGCAGATCGAGCTCCACAAATGGACGATACGAGAAGTGGCTGCTTTTTTTCGTGATCGTCAATTTCAACAGTCTCCTGAATCGAACGCTGCGCTTCTACTACTCGCTCGGCAAGTGTCTCGCGCTGTCTGGAGGAATGGCATCGAGCTCGCTGGAAGGCTGCTCAGCAATCGTGCCGTGGCTCGTGTCTTCTTAGAGATCCGTGACCACAGGGTTGCCCTTCGCCGCGCTGCATCATTTCAGCACTGGTGTGACAGTGTACAACGTCGTCACGCTGATGGGCTACGAGCGCGCCTTGGAGATCGTCTCGCGCGGCCCCGCGCCCCTCGGGCCCTCCTGCGCCAACTTGCTGCTGTCGAGCGCCGCGCGGCTATCTGGTCGCCTCTGAGACGTCGGCTGGTGTTACGCGCTGTCAAGCATCCCACTGATCCAACTAGTGTCGCCAGCGACTCGTCTATCATGACTGAACGGCTGATTGGCCACTGGGCGCCGATCTTCCGAGCCAAGCCGGTCTACCTTCAGCTCGCGCAGTCTTACATCGAGCAGCGCATCGCCGTCTTGGACATCACTAAGGTTGCGCCGCCGCCACCTGCACTGCTGCGACGCGTCGCTCAGAGGATGCGCTACCCAGAACCCTGCTTGGGCCCGATCCCGCGCTCGGCGTGGGCAGCCGCCTACGCGGGCATCAATGTGCTATCTCTCGCGATGATGTGGGTGATGAGCATTCAGTCGCTGTGCAAGAGCTCGACCGACACGCCGCAGGCCTGGCTCCCGAAGGGTGAGGAGGTGGAGGAATGGATGGCAGCAGGTTGCGCTCGCGCTCCCAGTGCAGTTCGCGTGCTAGGGCTACGCAGCGCGGACAAATCTCAGCGTTGCCACCGTTAACATTCAGTTCAGCAAGCTGCTGATGGACTGGGCGCCTCGCCCCCAGCGTGGCTTCATACCTAAGCGCAACTTTGAAGCGCACGTTCTGGAGCTCGACGTGGTCTCGCGCACCTCGAACTCGCCCGCGGCGGGACGTGACTTGCCTGCCCTCGTCGCGCTGGGGTTCGGCACAACCTGCCCGAGCCTCGCCCAGTCGTTCATGCTGATGGGCTTTAGGCAGATGCAGGCCCCCTTCGCCTTCATGGCCGCCATGGAGCACCTCTACACCACATCTTAGACGCCATGGCCATGATCAACGGTATGCCCACCTTCACGTGGATGATCTCCTCGGGCATCATCCACGGGTGTTCCCTTGGTGGATCGATCTATGCTGCTGTCGCGACCTGTATCTTATTTGACCTTCAAGTCCGGCTAGAACTTGCACGACTGGGCTTGACCCGTGCGCGCGCTGACGACATCGGCTGCGTCGTCAAAAAGCCGCAAGCCATGAGGGTGGTTGCTGATTTGATGCGTATTGCGGAAGCCATTGCCGCGCTCTCGTTACAGCTGGCCAAATGCATGCTGGTCCCTTTGCACGCGCAGTTATCTTCCGATGTGGTGACTACGGTGCGACAGGATCCCGTTCTTCGCGCATATTCAAATCGTGAGCATGCTGTTCTACCTCGGCCTTGTCTTGGGCCCTGCTGCGGGTGCCAACTCTTGCTGGCTGGCGCCGTCACTCAAGGTAAAGCTTCGCTCTCGTCTGGTCGGCAGCAGCCCCTTGGCAGCTTCCAGGTTAGCGACCAACTACGCCACCAGGATCACACCAATGCTTTCCTATTTCGCCCAGTTCAGGATGATGCCGCAGTGGCTGCCCAGGGACGGTTTGATCGCGCTATCGAGGACCTTTTTCGGGTCCAGTTGGGTTTCTTTACCGTCGCGGCCTGGCTTCAGATTCGTGGCGCGGTTGGTCCCTCTATCCCGCCCTGGCACGCCCTTAGCACGGGGGCGCTTACTCGCGCTGCACATGCGACTCTTCCTGCGTTTCAGCGTCTACATCAGTGGCTTTTTGTTCGGCAACATGACCGACTTGGCGATCTGAGGGCTCTCTCTGAAACATCGTCGGCGCGCCGATATCCATCTCTGGAAGTCAGAAGCTTTCGTCGAAACCCTGGCAAGGGCTCAGAGGGGCGACTACTCGGCGAACTTCCCCGGCTACCGCATCAAGGTGGACAGCGGCTCGTACGGCAGCTCGCGAGTGGTCTTCTCGCCCCTCGCGCTCTTCTGGCCTCCAACGCTTTGTCACCGACGCGGCCAAGACCTGCCTGACGCCATCCCCGCTGTGGAATTGCTTTGTTGCCAGGTTCAGCAAGACATGCCCTGCGATGCATGACAGTGGTCACTCGCGCGTCCCCTCATTTCGATGGGACCACATGCTTCGACATCTTCCGAAGTTTTCTATGCCGTGGGCTTTCGCCTACATCAAGACAGCCGCCAATGGATGGGCTACCTCGCATCGCATACTGCAGCCGCATGGTCGTCTAGCATGCCGCTTTGGGTGCAAGCGCCGCCCTGACGCGCTCGAGCATCACCTCGTCTGTGCACCTCGTCGGCAGCTCGCGGAAGAGGATCTCTGCAAAATGCGCCCAGCTACTGCACTTGGGCGTCTCGGGCTGTTTGGAAGCGTCGTCGAGCTCGATCGCTTCATATTTGACGTCGTGGTCATGTATTACACCTATGCCAGTGCGGCCCATGGCTCAGCAGCGCACATTTGGCCACGAGATCGCTCGCTCACATGTAAAAGCCGCCATTCGACA